GAGTTTTGATAATTACTCTAACTTTAACTTATAAGTAAGTAAAATATAAAGAGAATGGGACTACAGTAAAGTACAGCACATGATGCAATCTCTCTGAATCCATTAGTACTTTGCTAATTTGCTAGTTAAAAGTTGACTTAAAAGTGACAAGAAATTAAATTAGGGATCTACAGAAGAGACACATCAATTATAGCAACAGGGGTAAGGGAATAAATTCTACTTGATACGAACGTGACAGGCATTTCTCTATTCTCAATCATCTAATGAGAGTTGAGATTGTTTCCCTATTTTAAATTTAGTTATTGTTGTAAAGAACACTATGAGCACAAGTGGATTAATCATACTATTGATTCATGAAGCACTATAAGCATAAAGCACTATAATCATTTATCTAAATGTATGTCACTTTTATGTTTCTTATTTGAGTCTACTACATGTTGGTTATTTATTTAATGAGTCAACAAATACCTAAGACTCCTTCACTTAACTCAAGAACAAAAGCATTATAAATAATCTACATGCTCCTCTATATTAAGAAATCAACTAAAGTACTAATGAATGATGATCTCTCAAGATTTGTCCAGTTTCCTGTTTTTTTACTCAAGGAACAGTCACACATCCTGTTCTGTTGGAGATGGGACCTTGGTGGCTTTGTGGAAAGTGAAATGAAACTAGATAAAACCTTCTTGCTCCCTAGCTTGTCTTATTTATTTGAGGTCAAACATAATCCACTTATTGGGCCATCTGCAGGATTTCCTCCTTTGCTCATCCAAGTTCATTTTCCACCTAACTCTGCCTTAAAAGTCTGACCGCCCTGGGCTGCGTGGATGGTCTTCCCTATCCTGCAGGTGTTGTTTGGGGGTCGAAAATGGAAACACCAGCAGGCAGCCGGGAAATAGGAGAGTGGGGTCAGCATTCCCTCCCTGAAAAGGGGCCTTAAGTTGGCTGCATCCTCCCCCATTGGCCAATATACAGTGCCATTTGCCCCACAGCCAGAGCTGATGTCCAGGATTCAAGAGGTGTGGGTAGGAGTGGCCATTCTCTTCTATATCGGTTAGCTCACTGAAAAAAGTTGTTTCTTTTTTCCCAAGACTTTGAGCTACAGGCTTGAAAATCCTAGTGCTCAAGGAAGACATACAAGCCCAATAAGCTTCCTTGAGCACTCAAATCACTAACATTTTCTTTAGCTCAGCATAGTAGTCAGTAGGAAACAGAAGAAAAGATAAGATTTTGTGTTTTAAAAGAAGCAAAAGTTATTAAAGAAGAGGAAAGAAAAAACAGTCAAGCAGAACCCCTTCCAGGCCTTTCTAACCAACAAATTTTACATATTGTCTCTAGGTGCTCAATAATATGCAAGGATATGTTTAATATTATAAAACATGAATTCTTTTTTTAAGTAAATTTTAAAGTAAAATTCAAAAGTAATGTGTTTTCCATTAGACCATTTCAAAAGTACAGAAATGACACATACAAAAATACTCATGAGCGCAACGTCTGGAGATAAGCATTTCAAAATCTGTGCCCTTTTTTCTCTACCCCAGGCTGCCTCTTGTGAACCCCTTCACAGGACTGAAAGCAAAAAGCACCCGAGACAAAACAGTCGACATGGATTTCCAGGTGGGTACAGCAACTTCTAGAATTGTGGCTTCTATAAGATGACTCCTGGGCAGTAGACATTACTTTTTCCATAGTATTTGTATGTGTGGGGAGTTCGGCAACAGATGCTATGGTGTATGAAAATATTCCTTTCCAAGATTTCCTTAGATTTTATTCAGATTTTATGTTAACTAGATAATATAATGTTGATTCTATTATTCAGAGTCATTGTTTTTCACCCACCTCAGGTAGAAAAGCAAATGAGTTGAACCCAAATCATCAGAATATTCAGGGCATCCATCCATACAACCCCCTGACCCATTAGGTAAAATGAACCCCTCAATAATAATGAAAGTATCAATCTCAATTCAATAGATATTCATTGAGGCCCTACTATATGCAGTGCAGTATATTCTAATAAGATGCTGTCAGCGTTTCTGTGAATCCAAAATGTAAACCATTTAATTGGCAAATATTAACTTAGAGCTGGTTTGCCTCTGGCTAGTTTTCCTTTGGTGTGGCCAAAATGTTCCTGGTGAAGCTCACCTTAGCCAAAAGGAGAAGGGCAGGAGGAGTAAAGGACTATAAATTTCGACTTGTTTTTCCCCCATAATGGTCGTCTGCACTACACACAAGGTCACTGTCCTCTCCCGCTGTGTGTGAGTCAAAGGTCTTAGGGAACCATGACCAAAAGCTTAGAATTAAATTAATCTGGGTTGACCTCTTTTTTTTTTTTTTTTTTTTAAACAGAGTCTTGCTCTGTCACCCAAGCTGGAGTGCAGTGGTGCAATCTCGGCTCACTGCAAGCTCCGCCTCCCCAGTTCACGCCATTCTCTTGCCTCGGCCTCCCAAGTAGCTGGGACTACAGGTGCCCACCACCATGCCCGGCTAATTTTTTTTTTTTTTGTAGTTTTAGAGAGACTGGGTTTCACCATATTAGCCAGGATGGTCTTGATCTCATGACCTCGTGATCCGCCCACCTCGGCCTCCCAAAGTGCTGCGATTACAGGCGTGAGCCACCATGGGATGACATCTTATAAGAGTTTCTTCATACGTAGCTATTCTCTCTATAAAATGTAATAGCCACACTATCATAGATGTAGGCTAAGCCCTACATATATAAAGATGTGTGTATTGGCCAGGCATGGTGGCTCACGCCTGTAATCTCAGCACTTCGTGAGGCCGAGGCGGGCGGATCACAAGGTCAGGAGTTCGAGACCAGCCTGGCCAACATGGTGAAACCCCATCTCTACTAAAGATACAAAAAATTAGCCGGGCGTGGTAGCGCGTGCCTGTAATCCCAGCTACTTGAGAGGCTGAGGCAAGAGAATCGCTTGAACCTGGCAGGCGGAGGTTGCAGTGAGCCGAGATCACACCATTGCATTCCAGCTTGGGCAACAAGAGCGGAACTCCATCTCAAAAAAACAAAACAAAACAAAACAAAAGATGTGTGTGTGTTTTCTTGTATACACAGTCATGTGCTGAATAATAATGTTTCAGTCAAAGATGGACAAATTATAATGAAACTGCCCTATACTCGTGTAGCATTTTTCTTTTATATTGTATTTTTACTATACCTTTTCTATGCTGTGTTTAAATACACAAATACTTATCAGTGTTACAATCGCGTATAGCATTCAGTACAGCAACATGCTGTGCAGGTTTGCAGCCTAGGAGCAATAAACTCTACCATATATCCTAGGTGTGTAGTAGGCTGTATCATGTAAGTGTGTGTTAAGGGCACTCTACAGTATCTGCACAACAAGGACATCGCCAAAGGATGCATTTCTTAGGATGTATTCCTGTCGTTAAGGGACACATGACTATATATGTGTGCTTGCTGTTTTTTTGTTGTTGCTGTTGTTGTTGTATCTAGTTTTTTTTCTTGTCAGGTAACGCTGGGCTGTCACAATATGCCAAGCACTGGGCCAAATCCTTTACATGCATCATGTCAGGAGTTCTTGCAGCCACCCATATGGTAACCACAGGACCTTTGCCTCACAGGTAAGGAAATGGGGCTAGAGAAACCCAAGGTCTTGCCACACAGCTTATCTGTGGTAAGCAGAGGCCCATTTGGACCTATGTACTTCTGATATGACAGGCCCAGGTCTTGACCACTTTGTACATTATATGTATACTCAGATAATTATTGAGCTGTTGAAAAATCAAAGTATCAGAGAAATTTGAGAAGATGAGACTAAGAATCATTCATCTCTCAACTCTTTCCCAGTGGAAATCTACTTTTCTCTATTTTATATTTGTAAGATCACATTTCAAGAAAGGGTTTCATGGCAAAAACATAAATTAAACAACACCATCAACCATAATAAATTACAAAGCCTGAGTTGAACTAGAAGTAACGAAAATTCATGAGAGATTTACAGTCATGAGTTATATCCAAGTTGAGGACTGTCATTTTAGTGGTGAATGGCAGCCCAGTAGCAGAAAGCGGTTAAACAGAAGCAACCTCGGGCCTTTGCAGAGCATATGGGCCTTGTAATTTCTGCTGTGCATAATGCCTGGCTCAGAGTAGTCTATCAAAAACTCATGGTTGGATGACCAGGCACGGTGGCTCACACCTGTAATCCCAGCACTTTGGAAGGCTGAGGCGGGCAGATCACGAGGTCAGGAGGAGATTGAGACCATCCTGGCCAACATGGTGAAACGCTGTCTCTATTAAAAACACAAAAAAATTAGCTGGGTGTGGTGACATGCACCTGTAGTCCCAGCTACTCAGGAAGCTGAGGCAGGAGAATCCCTTGAACCCAGGAGGTGGAGGTTGCAGAAAAGGAATTTTTCCTCAAACCCCAATCCAAAGTGGACTTTGACTTAGACTTGATTAGTGGAAGTGTTTACGAATTTTGTACAAAATCCAACATCACCACTCAAGGCATGCATGTGATAGACTTGTCATTGCGGTCTGCCCTGCTCACGGTTAGATCATGCTGCATTTGTTACATGTTAATCTCCAGAAAAATGAATACCATTTAAGGTCATATCCATTTTTTAATCAAGAGAGATAGGAAGATCAGAGAAAACTTATGTAATGCATATTGACTAGTACAAAAGAATCACACTAAAAATGTGTATATATTATGCCAGAGAAACAATGTAGTGAGTAGGAGAGGTGGAACCAGATAAATAAACATGGGTGACCTAGAAAAGCTGTTGGTGAGAGAGTAGAACCCTGAAAAAGATGAGGCTGGTCACTTGTATAGACCTCTGCAAAGCTTCCGCTTTGAGAAAATATAGAATTGGCAACTCCACATAGAGTCACCACATGAATGTTTAGCTAGAAGACTGTTTACAAGCACACTGGTGGTAACTATGGCTTCCCAATTCATAATTATAAACAAAGACTTAATAAACATTTATTGAATGGGATGGCTCTAACTGTCTGCTACTGTGCACCTCCCACAAGGCACAATAGTAGGTAGCTATGTCCTGTTTCTCTACATTGTGAATGGTGAGGGTGGATGTAGACGTTTTGGGTATCCTATCCACCTCAAATTTGCCCGATGGAATGCTGGATTCCTTTTTGACAGTGCCGTCATATAAAATGCACACCAGGAACTGTATGACTTCACCAGGTCTTTCTCGATACCAATATATAGATGTTTGAGAAATTGTTACTCCAGACACCACACATTCCAGGCGGGCTGTTTTTGACAGCATTTTAGTACTGGAAATTTGAGGTTGCTCTAGGTGACCTGCACCATATACACACACTGGGGGGAAAAAGTGGGAGGGAGTAAATAAACCAAGAATTTGGAATTTGTAAAAATATATAACAATAGAGAATATCAGTCCAAAGTGATTGGGGGAGCAAAACTACTTACGAGCCCCAAGGACCGCCAGTGTTGACGCGTGGAGCAGTGACAGCATGTCTGCAGGCACTGTGCTCTCTGCCAGGGCAGCCTGGAATCACCGCAAAGAAGCGTTAGACCCCTGTGGCTTGGCTGAGTCCACCAAGTCAAACTTCCCATGGGTGAGGGTGACATGGGGCCTCCTGCATCATTGTAAAGTGGTGTCCTCACCACCTGTTAGCACTTCCAGTCTGTGTGAAGATAGTCCTACGAGGTCTGAGGCCTGAAATCAGACCACATAGTTCAGACAACCACCTCAGACCACACGGCGGCCACCGCAGCAAGTTGTCAGGCTGGTGTCGTTGGTTGTCGGGGCTGTTGACATGCAGCCTTGTCTTCTGAGAGCTTGTCTTCAACCAGCTGGAGAGATGTTGATCCATCAAGCTGCTTAGCTCTGCTCCGCTACCCACACAGCCTGCAGCACGGGGCCCTTCTGGTCACCTTCATGGAGCTGAGCCCTCCATGCCAGTTTGTTTGCTTCTGTTGAAGATTCAGGTTCCTGTTCCCTCCCTCAGCTACCTGAATAATGTACGTCTCCTGAATCCCTGCTTCTCCTCGATGACAGTTTCCTACTGTCTGTTGTTCTTTCTCTAACCCAAGATATTTAATCTGTCCCAAGGTATTTTTACAAACTGCTGTCCCCCAATGCACCCCTTAAAAGCTGCTGTGCTCCAGATTTCCATTCTTAATTTACACACTGGGAGCTGTGGCTCACTGCCACTGCCCAGCATCGCAAGAGAGTATCAAAACCTTATATCACTGTCCTGGGGAAAGAGCAAAGGTCAAATTATGTTTTCTACCAAATGCATGTCATTTTTGCACCATCATAAAGTAAAAAACATCTTAAGTCGGACCTTAGTTAAATCAAAAACTGTCTGTACCCATATCCAGCTAACTCTGGGACATTTTCAAGTACGTCTGACACGGGATCTCAAACCAAGTCTGCTCATAGCTAGAGTGAACTCATTCCCTTCTCCCAACCCTTATCTTCTTCCGAGTTCCCTGTATGACATGACTACCCCTAGGACATAATGTGACCTTGCCCCAGCTCACCAGCAGCAATGCACCCACATTGCCCAGGCCGGGAACCTGAGTATCAGCCTCAATTCTCCCCTCTAACTAATTCACCACACTCCAATTCCTGAGGATTCTACGTCCTAAACATTTCCTGGCTCACCACTGCCTCCACCTCACGCACTTCCGTGCGTCCCATCTTGGCCCCTCCCACCCACCTTCCCCATGGCCACTAGACTGACCTGGTCATTTTCCTGCTCTAAATTCCTCCCTCGCTCTACCTTGCCTCTGAAGATGAAGCCCAGAGTTCTTAGGATAAGAGGCTCTCTGTGATGTGGCCAGTGCCTCCCTGTCCTTCCATCTTCATTCAGTCACTCTCTGCCTAGAATTCCACGACCCACTTCTGTGGATTGACTTGCAGTTTTTTGTGTTTGGACTGCTTTCTAATCCACTTTCCCTGGCTAATTCCTATTTATCCTTTTGGGCTCAGCCCCAGGCAGTCTTCCCCAGGAAGCTTCCCTTACCCAGTAAGTCCGGGATGGAGATGCTTCAAATTGCTTTCTCTTAGCGCCGCCTAGTGTCTTCCTCTCTCCTAGCACCTCCTGCCCAAGCCTTGGCCTGTTTACCCATTTCTCTCTCATTCTGAACTCGTTAGAGTTCCCAAGGGAGTAAGATCATGTCCTGTTTATCTCTCTATTCGCAGGTGTTTGTTGAATAGATGAAAGGGTGGAATGAGGGAATGGACGGCCATTGTAGTATTTTTTGTCATTCTGATGTTAATGAAACATTACCATTTAAAATACAGTTTTTAAAGAGTTACCAAGCAATGGACACTTAGTGAATGCCTTTAATGTGTCAAGCACTTTGTAGCCATTATGATATTTAATCCCACAAATTTAGTATAATCTTCACAAGGCCCTACTCAAAGCAGGTCAGGTAATAGGTCAAGGTTTAACAGCTTGTTGGTGACAGATTTAAGATTAATTCTGTCGGGCTGCAAAGCCTGAGCTCTTTGAATAGTTCTCTCTGCCTCTGTTTTCTCATCTATCGAATGAGAATAAAATCACAGCCTACCTTACCGGATGTTGCAAAGAATAAACGTTAGCCCAGGTAGAGTGTTTAGGGCAGTGCCTGACATGGAGCAGGCCCTTGGAAACTGATGGTGATTCCTGTTATACTCTCCCACTCTGTCTTCTGTGACCTTGCCCCAGCTCACCCGCAGCAATGCACCAGTCACGCTCTTGTCTTGATCAGACAGACTAGCTGGGAGGCTCCCCAAAGCAAGTGACGATGAGAGGGAAATAACTTGGGACCATTTCTAAGAAATAAAAGTTGAAAAGTCTGCTGATGATGCCTCTGAAGTTGAGATCACTTAAGAAAGATATAATCTTGGTCTCTAAGCTAGTCTATCACCCTGGAGGTTGAGGCTGAAACCAAGTGGTATAATTCAGAGGCAGATCAATTTTGGACATTGCTGTTTTCTCTGTTTTGGAGATGAGGAAACTGATGGCTAGGAAATTTAAGACCTTGCTCAAGGTCACAGCGTTCATGAAGAGTAGAAGAGTAGAGCAGGTGTTGGTGAGGAGTGAAGGTGGAGGTTTCTGGTGGTGAAGGTTCACTGTAGCGGCAGAGTCTCCTCTTGAGGAAATGAAAGATGTTGTTCTGTAAGGAGGTGACTAGGGAGCTTGCTCCTCCATTTGGCCACTCCCTGATAATCACTATTTCACCAAATTTGCTATTGTTTGGAGTCAAGCACTGAGAGAGGGGGCAGGTAGCAGAGGGGGCATCTCTCTGTGCCCATTCAGTTTTATCAGCACAATTAGAAAAATGAAATGAAGGAGCAACCCCAAAACAGAATGAAAGTTTACTGCTGTACAGCCTCTGTCCTTCTCACACAAGTTGGAAGGCCTTAGCCGTGACCTGAGCCTTCACTGAGGTTGGAGACACTGGGCTGTTTCAGAACCAAGGCGTGGCTTTTTTTCTTTTGCTTTTTTTTTTTGAGACAGAGTTTCATTCTTGTTGCCCAGGCTGCAGTGCAAATGGCACGATCTCGGCTCACCCCAACCTCTACCTCCCGGGTTCAAGCGATTCTCCTGCCTCAGCCTTCCAAGTAGCTGGGACTACAGGCGTGAGTCTCCACGTCTGGCTAATGTTGTATTTTTAGTAGAGACGGAGTTTCTCCATATTGGTCAGGCTGCTGCCAAACTCCCGACCTCAGGTGATCTTCCTGCCTCGGCCTCCCAAAATGCTGGGATTACAGGAGCCACAGTGCCCAGCCTGCAAGGCGTGTCTTAATTATCAATCTCTAGCACAAAAACAGAAGTTGAGAGAGGTGGACAATGAGTGAAGGAATGCGATGGACTGAGTTCCTTCAAAATTGTTTGGACTTTACATTCATTCATCTTTTTTACTAATGTCATCAAGTCACACATAAACTTTCAATCTTCCATTGAAAAGGTGTTTGTTTTTGGTTTTTATTTGTATAACTTTAAGGGGTACAAGTGCAATTTTGTTACACACATGTAATGCATAGTGGTAAAGTCTTGGCTTTTAGTATACCCCACACCTGGATAATACGCATTGTGATGTGAAATTACTTAATTTCTATCTGTACTCCTTCTGCCCCCCACCACCTTTACAAGCCTCCAATGTCTCATTCCATACCCTATGTCCATGTGTACACATTATTTAGCTACCACTTACAAGTGAGAACATCCAGTATTTGTCTTTCTATTGCTGAGTTGTTTCACTTTTGATAATGGCCTCCAGTTTCCTCCATGTTTCTGCAAAAAACAGGATTTCATTCTTTTGTATGGATGAGTAGTATTCCATTGTGTGTATATACCACATTTATTATGGATGAATAGTACTCCACTGTGTATATATACCACATTTTCTTTATCTAGTCATCCACTGATGGACATTTAGGTTGATTCCATATTCTTGCTATTATGAACAGTGCCATAATAAATGTATGAATGTGGTCTAATATAATAATTTCTTTTCCTTTGGATGGATATCCAGTCATGGGATTGCTGGATTGAATGGTAGTTCTGTTTTTAGTTCTTGAGAAATGTCCATACTGTTTTCCAGAGAAGTTGTACTAATTTACATTCTCATCAACAGTATATTAAGCGTTCCTTTGAAAAGGCATTTAAATTCAGCTTAGACTTCAAAGAATTTCTTTTTCTTCTGCACATAGAGTGGCAGAGGGGTTTCCTGTTTAGTGCTGGAGGATCAGTAACACAGGTTTTCTTTCATTTATTTTCTGTTAAAGGAGACTGCTTTATACGAAGGTAGTTGGCAGAGTGATCTTATGTGTATGGCTTTGCTTTAATATAAAAATCACAGTCACATAACCTAGCAGACATTTGGCTAAACCCCCTCATTTGTCAGATGGGAGAACAAAAGTCTAGAGAAGCTTGGGATACACACATACTCCACAGTGGGGTCCTGTTCAAGGAGAAGTGGAAGGCAAAGTCCCAGTGTCTCATCTAGGGAGTATTGCTCACCCTGCCATGGCGACTGTCTACGCACATGAGTTCCTGTGCAGCCTGCCCACCGATGAACGTACTGAGGAGTGTGCAATCTTATTTCCTATGCTTCTAATTGCTGACTCTATTGCAAAATGGTAACAGTCCCAGGGCCCAGAGCCTGGAAGCTGGAAACAGGGGTAGGCTTCCAGTCTCAGCTTTTCAACCATTTTGGGGTAAATCTCAGCCAGTCCTCCACCCTTGAAATCTCTTCCAAAATATTTGATTTGTGCATTCTTCAGAGGAGATGGTCAGACTCTTAAATGATCAGTCTCTAACAGTACTGTCCAATAGAAATAAATGTGAGTCACCAAGGTGAGTCACACACTTAAATTTTTCTAGTTGCAGCATTAAACAAAGTAAAGAGAAACAGGTAAAATTTGTTTTAATGCTATTGGTTTTAGTCCAAGATACCTAAATATAATCATTTCAACGTTTGATCATTATAAAATTTATTTCATTTTTTAACACTAGATCTTCAAAATGTGATTTTGGACATACAGCCCATCTCAGCTTGGACTATTGTACTTGGTATGTTTCCCATGCTCAATAGCCACATGTGGCCAGTGGCACCCAGATTCAGGTGCACAGATCATCCTGCAAAGGCTTCAGAGACAATGAACAGGAACATCTTTAAACAGGCCCCTTTCAATGAGATAGA